AAAAACGTTAGTTTCTACACAAAATTTAAGAGACGAATTAAAGCGAAAAAGTAAATACCGACAAAGTCAAAAATATTTTCAGTGCCATCTTTGTTATATTTACTCAATACTGTTAGATAAACTAACATCTGCATCAGACAACGTGAATTTTCCATCAACAAAGTTGCATAACTTATCCCAGCAATGTTTAATACATCACATGTTGTTTTATGGTTTATTTCATTTCACATCAACATTAGAGTTTATTAGTGACTGCAGTTGTTATAGAATTAATACTTGATCAATTTAAAGGATTTTAAACTTAATTTTGACCTTCGAGGTAGGGATATGTAATTGTTTTTACCTTATCATGCACATTAAACAAAAGCAAATGTATACAATATAATTAAGGATTATTATTACAAAAATATATAAAATTCAATGTATGAACTGACAAAAACAAAACCGACACATATTCTGTATACAAGTACAGGCCATTAAAATTGATCCAATAATTCACATGACAGACGACACAAAATCTGGGAACGTGTGTATAATTTAGGTATCGCTTAAATACATAATGTTCTTGAGTCAACAGACGGCACTCTGCGGCGGGCCAAAGCGCTGCCTACGAAAATATCGTCGTAATTGGAAGCAGCCTCCAACGGGCGCAGCGGTTGCGTGACGAGCAGCGCGCGGCGCGGCGCGGCGCAGGCACGGGAAAGGTGCAGGGCGAGAGCCACAGGAAAGGGACGAAGAGGGCCAACTGGTCGCAGTAAAAGCATAGAGACGTGAGAGGCAAATGAAATTGGGGCTAGGCGGGGACGATCAGAACAAAACGAGATGAAACGAAAGAAGAACAGGGATGAAGGAGAAGTACGGAAAGAGATGAAGAGATAGTCGGTGGGAGGAATGTAGGGAATGAAGTGTGGAGGAAGAGGATCAGATGGAGAAGAAATTGACATGAAGGAATAGAAGGGTAGAGGAAGGAGGGGAAAGGAAAGGGCGCTGAGGGGAAAGAAATGAAAATAAACGGGAAGGAAGGCGCAACGGGAGAGTGATTTAGAAGGCGGTGGATTCAAGGAATAGGAGGAAAGAGGTGGTAATGGTTGAAGCAATGAACACCATAAAAGAAAAATTGGAAACGGGTAATATCGAGAGATATCAGGACGAAAAAGGGATAAGGGACTGGAGACAAAATAAGCAGCAGCACAGACGTAGAGCGATGAGAGAACTGCCAAGCACAGAAAGAAAAGAACGAGGCGGTTCCAGCGAAAAAATGCCGGGGTGGTTCAGAGTAATAGGAGGGCGAAGCGGTGGCAACTAAAACGGGGGTGGATGTCGTGGCGGCAAACAGAAGGGTAGGGAGCGTTGAAAAACACGCCTTCCCTCTCCCGCGGCGTGTTTGCGCTGCCGAAAAGAAGCCCGCGCGTTTGCTCAGCGCCATCAGCGGAGTAACGGGTCGTGTCGCGGGCGCGTCCTCCCGCACCTGACGCCCATTACCAACGCGCCGCGTCGCGTCGCGCCGCGCCGCGCCGCCGCCTTCATTCCCCCCATTTCGCCGACGCGCGCCGCTGATCGCGAGGGCTCAAAATTCCACGACGCGGCCGCTGCCAATTCGAGGAAGAGCGGACCGCTGAGTGTGCCTCTTCCAGGGAGGTGAAATGGCCTAAAGACAGTTAGCACGTTCTCGTTGGGGGTTTTTCTTCTCACATTATGGATTTCTTCACTGCGCAAATAATCATGCCCATTCCCCAAAAACATCAAATGGAAATAAGTTAAGAAAACAGAACAATTGTGGCATTTGGCATTTTCTGACGAGAAGTGCGGAACAAACTCATACATATTAATTTGGATTACTTAATTTTTATTCCTCTCTCTAATAACAACTAAGGAAACTAATATTCTTACACAAATATTTTTGACGGATAATATTTGAGGCTACAAACTTCTAATTTATATAGGTTAACGGCACTTACTAAATCCTACAAGCCCAAAATAAAGTCAGAAGTTTAGACAACGTTGCACATTTACATACTTAAGATAAATATTCCCATTTGCAGGAGAGACAAGAGAATGTGCAAGAAAGCAAGAGAATACGAAACTCTACGGTCAGATCACCGGAGAAAACAGTAGAAACCAGCATAATTTGTTCCAAACAGTAAAATTTTATATTCAGTGTCTCGAACATTTACCCAAACGTTACAACATGAGTGCTCCAATACTATAAGACCTCTTGGTGCGTCTAAGGCAAGACAGAGGTCGCAATGTACGATCAAGTACGCACGAGATTCTTCACAATCGTGCAGGTTTTCAGTAACAGTCGCAAGATATGCGGTCTGGGGGTTGCCTTACGAGTGCTTACGAACATGTCTCCTGCACTTCTTCTGCACTAGGGGCACCGCACAAACGAAACGACTAGCGTTCCTTTCCTTTGACCCAGTTGAAAAACGTCTACTTCTCCTCCCATTTGCAAGCGATGCATCATGTTAATAGATTCTAGGCCCTGCGGTAAACGCCGAGACCTACCGGATATGGCGCTAGCCCAGGACTTCCAGACAGCCGCGAATCTATTGAAAGCGGCAGCACAGGCCTATGTTTTGAATTGCAACTTGTTCGGTTTCTGCAACAAATTTACAGTGCACGGCTGACCCAACTGAACAAGACTAGTCTGATTGACCGAATCCGATTGACCAACGCGTATAACCATCCGTTCACGCTGCGTCTCGCCTAGGTGACTTACAGCTATATATAGCTAATCTAATTTAACCCAAGTACGTAAACACCTGCAACTTTTGGAATCACCGTCCATAGTACAGCGCTTCCCACACTTGTTTCGTTTATCCATTTTCTTCAGCTGTGAGAAAAGGTCACCTTCCGCATTTACATTGCACGCCAGAATCCGACCATCACCACCCCGAACTGCGCCTCCACCTGGGGGCGGGGGAGGGGGGGACGTGTGCTTACCCTCGGATGCCGCGCAGCCACCGCCGAGGCGCGCAAACATCCCGAGAATCCGCCCTGGGAGCGGCGGCTTGCCCGGCTGGCCGCGCTGCGGGTTCCTTCGCGGTGCAGCAATGGACGAGAGGGGAGCCTGGGCAACGTCTTGTATGTAGTGCAAAGGGCGATGTCCGATCGAATACATGCCCACGCAAGCCGGCTATGCTGGTCGCTTTTCATTAGGTTGAAGGGGAATTTAAAAAAAACTCATATCAAAGTACTGAAAGATGACAGTGGCAGAGGCACGATTTTTTTATAAAAAATTACGAAGCATTTATTCCGTTTATACTGAGACTATTGAAGATAGCGTAACCGCAAGAAAGCTTGCTGTGCTGCATCATCCCACGTTCAAGGTATTGAACGCCAACTGAAAAATAATGCAGAAAGCGAGAGATCCTGGCCCTTCACATGATCCGATGATAAACCGAGGATTTGCGACGTCAGGGAAGCTCTTGAACAAGTAACGCGAGTTCGCCGTCGAAGTTGCAATTACAAAAAAATATCATCTATTATTGGTGTCTCAAATTCCGGCATTTTTTTACCATACTTATTACCCTCCTTCCTCCCTAGACCATCCACGATATGAGATAGGACAAAGAGAAAACGTCTTCGCATCAAAAATATACTGTTTAGTAACAAACTAATAGAGAACCCGGAAATATATAAGTAGCTAGCAAAGAATAATCACCAACTACTATAATGACAGATCGTCAAGAAAAACAATGTAAATGAGCGGTATTACGAGAATAGATTGGAAATACTGTAGAGAAATAAAAGGATAGAGAATGTTAGCTAGAAGAAAAACATTACTAGACTACAATTCAGTAGATTGGATACTAAATCCAAAAACGTCATCGAGAAACTTCCATTCTTTTTATCTTAGAACCACGTCTGAGATCCGCTTTCCTCCGGAATTCAGCCAGCAGCATGAAAACGACGCGCCGCAGGGCGTCCCTTGCAAAGCAAAGAGAGCAGCACTCCCTGGCAGGAGACGGCCTGGGAAATGCTCGAAGAACGCCAACGGCCGGTGCTTCGCGACTGCGCGCACCGGACCGCAGCGGAGCGGAGTGGAGCGGGCTGGAGCGGAGCGGGGAGGCGCGAAGCGGCGCGGGGCCGGGGGCTGACGACGGACGCCGCTTGTTGCGGTGGCCAGTAAATATTAACCGAGGTCGTAATCAGAACGCCTGCCCGCTGCAGCCGCCGCCACCGCCACAGGCGTCAGCACCATCGCCGTTACCACAGCCCCCGCTGTCGTTGCCATCGCCCGAACATCCATTCCCAATATCCATTCCCCTCACTGTCACCGTCATTTACCCGTGTCATCTCCGCCTGGAACACGATTAACCTCTAGTCACCGACCCCACTCCCTGAAATATTTCTCTAACCCCACCTGCAGGTTGCAGTTGGCACCACCGCCACATGCATCATTACCACTACCGCCCTGCCGTTCCTACCACACCACGATCCATCGCCGACTCGAAATATAGCACTTACCCCGTCATCTTCCCCGCCACCGTTCCTATTCCACTTATCGTGCCTATCACCCAGCACAAACAGGGACTCGGCCCCTGTCTCCACCAAACCACCCTTTCCGAAGGCGATCTCGCCACTGTTCAGGAATGTGTTCTCACATCGTGTTCTCATATCGTGTAGGCGGCGCCGGATTTCGCCATTCAGTGGACGAAGTTGACCGCCAGCTCCCGCGATAAAAAAATGCACTACGGTTTCGCGACTAGTAACCTTAGCAGTTGACACTCCCGGTAACGCCAATCAATCAGTTAATCAATCAATGGAGCCACCATCCCCGATTCCGCCAGTTCATGACCATGTCCCCATCCTCGATCTCGGTTCCGTTTTCGTACTCGATCCCGCCCCCGTTCCCGCCACTGACCACGTCACTTTTCCGACCCCGTACCCGTTCGCGATTGCGTCACCCTCCCCGAACGTCGCGCCCCCGCCCTGACTTACACGCCTGTATCACCGTCCCCTGCACCATTTCCACCGCTGCCTCCACCTCCGCTCTAACCGCCAACGCCATCAATGCAGCCGTTACCCCAGCGAAGCCACCAAGCCACCGCCACCACGGCCGCCACCGCCACCGCCACCGCCACCGCCGCCACCGCCGCCGCCGCCACCGCAGCTGCCACCTGACGGATCCCGCGCGCCGCCGCCGGCTGACGTGTCGCACTAATCAGTGCCTCGGCCGCAATGAGCGGGCGTGGAATTACGTCGGGCGGCGGCCGAGGTGGGCAGGCGCTTGAGCGGTGGCTCAGCGCGACGTGTTTGGATGCGCTCTGGTGCCGGGAGGGTGACTGAAGGCCAAGGAGCACGACGAGGCGATACGAAAGGAGTACGTGATGAATATAAAGCGAAAAAAGGACGAACAAATAAACAGCGAACAATAATGCGGAACGAAAGGTGATCCACTCACGCGACAAAGAAATGCATCAAAAAACACACTTTTTACTGCCTTTAAGAAAATAAATAAAAATGCAAGAGTGTGGAGAACCCGAAACCTAGCTTAAAGTTCAAAGAAATAGAACGAGTAAACATAAGAAACAAAATTGCATTCAAGAAATATATTTTAAGTTGTAGCAATCAAATGGGAGGACCAGATTCTGAAGCTTAAGATGGAATGAATTCAAGCAAGGAATATGATTATAGGAGAAAGGTGTTAGGTAAGGAGATTGAGCAGATGACATTCGAAATTCTAACACTACAAATTATTTCAATTTACATGCAGTAGAAAAAATAAGGTACAACGTGACAGAAACGTAAGAAAATTATTCAGCTACTGAAGAACGATGATAAAAGAATAAGGAATACAAGAAAACGTAGCCTGCTGTTGGTATATGGGTCTGAGGTGAGAAACAGAATAAGTATGAATCTTCGTGTTTAAAAGTTGAAAGAGGGGAGACATCACAAGGTTGCAGGAAAAAGAGAAAGCATTAAATATTGATTGAGACATACAAATGTGTAGGGGTTTAGATGAGACGCGATACATAATTAGAGAAGAATAGGTAGCTGACAATTTAGAGAAGGTGAGTGTTCATATTCAGAGAAGAGAGATGCATTCAAAGATTGGGAGATATGTTCGATGGAAGGAACAGAAGGAAGCTGAGTGGCGGCGACTTCAGAGACCTAACTAAGGGGAGGAGGCCAGAAGTGGAGGGCGACCAGACCGAGATCGTGGTGTTCGAAGCAGTAACAAAATCCAAGCACATAGCTTCCGACTGATGTGCCAAACCCTCATTCAACCCAAGTTCTTTTTGGAAACCTCCGGCCCCAAAAGCGTCCCAGGCGGTGCACCCACACAAGGCACACGGCTTGGGCGCGCACGGCGCAGGTCGCGAGCTCGTTAACAGGCAAATGGCCGACCGGCGCGTCGGTGGCGTGGCGTGGCGTGGAAGCGAGGCGAGCAGCTTAGCGAAGCCTCCGCGGCGAGAGCTGCATTTCGGGCGTGCGTAGCGCGCATACCACCCATCCACCCACCGCACAGTCCCTGTGAGAAACGCACCTGCGCACACGCACACGCGAATTGCGGGCCCAGCGTCCTTCGGCGCCGCGCGCCCTTTGGATTTGCATTCGCCCTTTCGCCCGCCGCCGCATCTACATACGCTTACGCAAATGGAAGGGCCACGTGGGAGTGCCGTTTGTGGAGAACGCGTGTGAAGGCAGTGGAAAGAGTCAGAACGTTAGGTCCGTAGTACAGGAAATGTAGGAGAGAAATTCGAAATTGGGCATTCAAATATGTTGATCACTGATGATTAGGAAAGTAAGTAGATTCATCGTGATTTGATGATGAAATTATTAATAGCTCTGTTCCGATGCAAATCATCGTCCTCGTGATTGACGAAATATCGTCAATTAAAACTCACCGAATCCAGCACCATTACCTCAGAATTGGAAAATGAACAATACCTGTAACAGAAAAATAATTGTTATATCATGTTATCTCTCCAATACACGTACTTAAAATAATGGCTTAAAAATGTATTTTATGAAACAAATGTTCATCATATATGATTAGATACATAAAATTAAAAGTATAAATTTTACCAAACATTATCCACAAATCTTTGCATTTGTATTCAAGAAATCATTATTAGTCTTGTGAAAATACTTTTGCTTTCGCACAAAAATCATCAACTTTCATAACTTTTGTCATATCTAACAACAGCAACAATAAAAATAAAATATTTAACTGTGTAAGTCGTGTCTTATAAAACTACACGAAAACGTATTTAATAAATTTAATATTCGACGCACGATTGTGTTACCACAAAACGAATTTAGTTCAAAAAACTTCATCTGCGATAGTCCCTTCAATAGCACAAACTATCAAGTGTCTGCTCTCACTTCTAAACATTTTCCATCAGGCTTTATCTCGGAGAAATCGTGCTCAGCTCCGAGGAGAATGGTAGTCGCTTTTAGCTCGCCTCTCGAGTGTCGCGATCTGGATTCGCGGAGGCCTCTTCGAAGGAGGGCTGGCACTGACGGCGCCCCGCGCAGGGCGGGGCAGAGCGGGGCGGAGTGGAGTGGTGCGGAGCAGGGCGGGGCGGAGGGAGTGGAGCGGAGTGGCGTCGGAGCCTCGAGTGGCCGTCGATTCCAAAGAGATCAATTGCGATTAACCTCCGCTAAGTGGCAGGCACCGCACGGAATGCAGCCGCAGCTGCCGGCGCGCCGCGCCGCTCCCTAGCGTGGCACGGCGCGGTGCTATCAACATGGCAGTGCATTGTGCTCCGAGGAGCATGTGACGCCTCTCGGAACTTTATTTCAAGGTCCGCACTACTCAACATGTTTAAGAAAAATAAGGAGTTCTGCGTTGGCCAATAACAACTCTCCCAGACAGGCAAGTTTCTACTGACTAGCCGCAGAAGCCTACGCGATTCAACGACTTTGATGTTTTCAATAATCAAAAGATAGCGCGAATATGTATTATTTCTGCAATAAACTAATTAATTTAGTTCTTTCAAGTAAAAAAAATATACTTGCATTCATATTTCTAGCGGTGAGTATGCGATGCATACAAATGGAGTTAAGTATTCAATTTAATAATTTGTATCTGCTCTCATCAATTTGAGTGTAAACTACTTATCCCCACTCTTCACATCCGAAACACACAATATAGAAGTTCAAATAACTTTTTGTGAACTTTAAATACAATATCACAGTACTTTTCGAGGCAGCCATCCAACTACGCAAAATTACGACAGTTCTTTTGCGACACAACCTTCATCGTTTCATCACCTCTAGTAACCTTGGATCAATACAAAACCCAACAACACACTTTCAAAAACATCTGACAAAAACAAGCGCAAAAATAGTCAATAAGATATTTCGAGTTGACCGTGTAGTGAACGTCTGTGTTCATAAACATGTATCGCGTATAGAATCATTCAACCTGAGAAAGTGAAATTTCACCCTTAAATTCCCTTAAGTACTCGGAGGACCAATACCGGGCTTCGGGACATCATCAAGTTGCGCACACCTGCACGGCTAAAACTACCACATATCCTGAACATTTTTGGGCCTCATAACGGAAATAACACTTTCCACTCTTCACGCTTCATTAATGCATATGCGATCACTTGCAGTTATCCCTGAGCATTAATGCAAGAGAGTATTCGTATTTTTTGATTCAGATAAGACGACTGAAGTTTAAACTTTTAGTGCCAAAAACCGCGTTATTTATACATTAGCCTTACAATTGAATAGGAAGTATTAAAATATGTCAAAAGACTATCAACACCAAAAAGAATTAGAAGTATGATGAGCACGAAAACCTACAATCTTCATTGTTGAAGTTGAAATTCTTATTTTCTAATGTAACACACGCAAGGATTCGTCGTCAACATTACTTCGAATTTTAGGTTTATTACAGGAAAAATATCGGGCTCTCCACGATTCCTTTTGTAATTTACTTAAAACACGAAAAGACACAGAGCATTTCTCGGAACTTCGACTGGCACTGTTGCTGCCAGACAACTTTTTCCGGGATAAATTTACGCAAAACACTGACAAAAGAGGGGAGTGGTGAGTAAATACGTCATTTCCGACGACAAAACCGTTCATTTTTGGGGGATAATAACCCGACGCGCCCGTTCCTTTCAAAGACGCCGGCGCTATACAGAAGGAGCGGCGCCGCGCAGGGGGGCCGGGATGAAAATGGCGTAATGGCTCTCCTTCCGAATACTTCAAAGTAAGGCGGCAAATGCACGAAATATGAAATATGGAAGCAGCGGGCGGGGGCGCCGAGAAAAAAAAGCGGTATTTCAAGGCCGGCGGCCGGCGCACGGGGGACGCAGGAACAGCGAAGTAGGGTGAATGCTGGGAGGAGAGTGGGCGAGCAGCGCAGCGGGGTTCACGGGAAGGGATGGTGTTGGATACAGAGCGGCGCGTGGCGGGGAAGGTGTGGGTGGGGCAGACCGCACCTGAACGGGGGGGGTACGTGCCAGACGGATTGGCCGCTGGGAGGGATGGGGTGAAGAGAGATGTAGTGGGGAGGGGACGGTGCAGAGTGATGCGAGGGGGGAGCCGCGTGAGAGGTCGGGTGGAGGGCACTGTACGACAGCGTGGGGGCAACGCGAGTACAGTGCGAAATTTGCTGAGAGGGCTGTGCGAAGGCTGGTGCGGGGAGCGGGTGGGGCGTGGTGCGGGGCCGCGTGAAGGGGGCGGTGGCGCGGGGCCGATGCGGGGGACGGCGGGTGTGTGGCGCGGTGGGGTGGTGCGATGGGCGGTGCAAGGGTTGCAAAGGGTGGACGAGAGAGGCAGTGAGGTGATGTGGTGTGACGGGCGGTGTGGGCACGGTGAAATGCGATGAGGTGCAGGGGATTGTGATGCAGGGAGCTGGGCGGGGCGATGAAGGCACCCAAGACTACGTGAAAGCAGAGAGGGTGGCCTCGCGGCACAGTGGGGAGGGCGGGCTTGCACGGCAGGGGCGGCGCCGGTGGGCGGCACCCGTAGCCGACTATCGCGTGCGCATTCAAAGGGCGAAAAAAGGACGTGCGGAGAAAAGGGAAGGAGGTGCGCGCAGCGGGGGCCGAGGGAGGAGACGACGAAAAGGAGGCAGAAGAAAACGAGCGATGAAGGGCGGCGCGGAGCCGTCTTTCCCGAACCGCTGCGCACGCCCTCTCCGCGAGCAAACGCCGAGGCGAGCGAGGCGCGTTGCGGCGGCCGCTGCAAAAAACGGCGATGCGCGTCGAAGCGAGATGAACGAGACATTGTCTGCGCGCGCAGCGGCGAGAGAGGGAGCGAGCGAACGGCGGGAGAGGAGGACGGGTGCGCACTCCCCGCTTCGTCGCCCACGCCACGTCCCCGCCCACGCCCACGCCGCACCCATCGCCTCCCGCTGCCAGCCTTACGCTCCGCTCACACCCTCGCTCCACTCCTCTCCACAGCCCACTCCGCACATCTTTTCTGACAGGCGCTTCCGTAGCATTTTTGTATATGCATTCCCTTTTGCACGTTACCACTTGTGTAATTGTAGCAATAGCCTCACGGAGACTACTTTGAGATGGCGTCATTAAAACACCACAACTTTTAACGTCTACTTACGGTGTGTACATCATTTTAGTTATTTAGAATAATTTTTTGAAAATTTCTCCGTTATTATTGGCTTTTGTTCTGTATTATGAATGTATATCGTATCAAAAAAGCAATTAAAATTAAACATAGTGTATCACTAACGGGGAAGAGAAGATAATATAAAATAAATAAATAAAATTGCCTGTATACCGATTTTTTTTCTTTCTTGGGATCGTTGAGATTTTGTTGCTTCTCCTAATGTATGTTGTCGTACAATTCATGTACAAATTTCGAATTTTATTTCCCTAATTAATACGAGCAGTTATTAAAACCCTCATTTGCGAAATGATTCGATACTATTTCTATTTGATTTATACTTTTAGCGACTCTAAAATAATTTGTTCGTCAACAAGTTGCTGCAACTAAGACGTTGGTTGGAAGATTGTCTCTTAAAAAGTTTGACATAGTAAAACTAAACTTCTCTTGCCTCCGTTACCAGAAACGTTCACAACATGCCGTATTAAGTAGGTAGCGCGCAATGAAAGGTAAATCAACTAGATACATCAGACGACAAAAAAATGGCTTGCCAGCTGAAAACGTGCTCACATTTGTTACAAACAAGTTTCCACTGACGGTTGTGTAACTTCTACATCGACCACTCTCTGTTATTAAATCACTTAGTGGAAGCGAACGCTCATTGATTTAATACACAAATTGCTTTCCCGCAATTCGTTTAAGAATAGGATGAAAAACGTCAGAGATCGCCTTGATAGATCTCAGGGAAGTATTACACAAGCATTATTGTACGTACTCATTTGTAATACAATACTTGACAACAGCATTAGAATGAGTTCATATCAAAGAGAAACACAATGCCATACTAGTGAGCCACTGCTATATTTCATGAACGCACTTCTACTTGCAGCACGCTCTTTATCTCCGGGTTCCTCCTCGAATAAAACGTAATTTACAAACGAAGTTACAAAAGTTAGAATTTTCCTGTCTGCAATGTATACTACGTGTCCAAGTTTGTTGCTGAGAAGAGGTTGACAATTCAACCATCTTTGTCTTCAACGTTCCCATGCGTAGTGTATATTCTTAGCATAATACGCCGATTGTCTTATTGAATTTCCTGCAGTACTGTTTTATCTTTCTGTGAGATTTTTACTACTTACAACGAATAAGTTTATTAAGTAAATTGTTAAGTAAATAAAGTATTATTAAGTAAATAAATCTCATGTAAAATTAAACAGTTGCCAGTTAACTACGCTGCGACAGTAACAGCTTTGCAAGTGAAATAAAACTATTCAACATGAGAAATTGATACCGAGTGAAACGTTAAAGGATAAGAGATATTTAGGAGTGCTCATCGCACTGTACAGTAGGAAAGAAGCACTACTGAAGTAGTCCAATAGAATAAATTTCCTCAAATCATACGCACTACTAATAGTTTCATTGATGTTACAAGAACGGATAATATTATCCGTGAAGTAACTGGTACGATATTGGCATCGAAAACCACAGTGAATTAATAAAAATATTGGAACAAAATCCAAAT